TGTGTGCGTGTGCTTTACTTTTATGTACCTTATAGTGGTGTGCGCGTGGCGTGTGGGATACGTCCTAGTCGACCGGCGACGAGCCGCGCTTGGGACCTCAGCCCCCCCAGTTGTCGGTTCGCGTGCGGGTCCGATAGAGGCGTAGTACCGCGCGTACCCCTTATGCTACAGCGAACGAGAAACGCCCTCGGCTGGTCCACCTCTGCGATTGCAGCCGATCAGCTTTCGTACTGTGGACTGGTAGCTCGGCGGGGATACGCCCACCGAGGGGAGGTGACAGCTCCCGTAAGGTGGAGGTAGTCGTGCCTCGCGTAGGCCCTGTCCTGTCGTAGGGGCTCGCGAGAGGTATGGCTGGCGCACCCGGCCGGAGCGGCTTATGGAGGCTCCGTGTGTGTACCACAACGGGATGTGTACTCTGGCTCCTGTGTGACGCGGCCGGGAGGGTCCCGCGCTACCTCTGAGTGGTGCCGGACCGGTGCGCTCGACACCGTGACGCAGTGCTTCGTCCAGGGCCCTTCAGAAAGCTCCGCCCATCTTCTCCCAGATGCTCCACGTGAACATTGTCGACTCTCAAGGTTGAGCGCACTCGACACCTCACAATGAGAGGACTCTCAAGAAGGAACACAACCTCATGGTAAGAAGTGTCGAAGAGGGTAAATAAGGTTAAGAGCAACGTACCTCAAATAGCTGCCCCCAACCACAGAGATAATCTCACCAGATGACCTGATGCCGATTGTGATGACCAATCATTGCTTCGGCACAACCAGCATTGCACGTCGTTCCACCTCAGCACCAATCGCACATTAGACAGTTCTCATCACACTGTCCAGACCCACATTACACCACGTAGCCTTCCTGGCGATCCCCTCACCTCCTGGGTCGCCACTCACTCGTCTCCACCCTCCTCACTACACACCACTTACGGCCCAACTCACCAAGCAGACCACATGTATGTGCCGCATTAGGCAGAAGACAAGCGCCAGATGAGCGCAATCGTACCACAGCTCGGACACCAAATTGCAAGGAAGATGAGCAATAGCAAACTTCAGCAATCAAACAGCATCATACAAGTCCAGATAGTCGTGACCTCGAACCAACAGCAGAATTGCATCACGAGTTTCGCCAAATAAGAACACACCAAGAGTTCATAATTGACAATGCTGAAATAGTCCCATCATCATCATCAAGGAAGAACCAACGTTAATAGCCTATCTGGCGCTTGGCGCCCAGACTACATATGCCCGATCCTATCTAGCCTATACTACAACGCCGAAGTTGACGACAACAGCTCTCCCGAAGTACGAGCAGATAGCGGCCAATGCCGCACGCTTCCAGCACCAGGTATGTCTCTCGCCTCACTCACAACCTCGTTCCCCAACACACAGATGCCACTTGCACCCAAGGACCACCCAGCGACGTTGCGTGCGAAGAGGTGGAGAGCTCAGTTCAAACTCAGCCCCAAAACGCAATAGGCGGGTTCGCTTGATGCGGTGAAGTCCACCGTCTCTCTCCGTGGACGATTGCGCGTCCAGATATTACATTGGACACCCGTGTGGCATGGCAAAGTGCCCCCCCCCCCCCCCCCTCTCCCATGCACGCTCGCTCACTCTCTCACAGCAATGTTCTGTGTGAAGAGGTGAAGAGTTCCGTTCACACTCGGCCCATCTCTCCTGCCATGTACTTACGCCCTGCCCGGAACAAACAGCTGAACATGAATGCAGTAGAATGGATGAATCTGACAGTGATCACGTCCAGAGTTTAGCTGCAGTAGGGGCTTGGTAGAACGGATGAATCTGACAGTGATCATGTCCAAAACTTAGTTGCACTGGGGGATCAGTAGAACTGTCCAGACACTCGCTATGTATTTGTATTTTAACATTGGCGCCAAGGACGTAGCGGGTGTCAGGACGCTCAACCCAAAAAAAAAAAGGTGAACAAAAAAAAAAGGTGAACCATCCGGGTGTTTCGCTCGAAAGGGATCCAACAAAGAAAAAGTTGAACCAATGCGGGACCGAAGCAAACCGATGCGGAGCCGCCCCACGAAAAAAAGGAAGCAGCAAACCCGACGGAAAAAAAAGAACCAAACCAAAGCGGGACCGCCCGACCAAAAAACGAAAGTGAATCCCCATGACTAAAATGTCTCGTGTCCCCCCTCGCTGCGCGGTCCCCCCACAAGACGAAATACAATGACTTTACCCTGCGTGCTCCTCACCTCTTGGAACCTCCTGTGTACCACAGCTCTTTCCTGGGTCCGGAAAGAGCATCACACAAGGACCGCTTTTCTCTTTATAAGTATATATATAGAGATGGGAGATAATGGAGCCAATGATGTGGGTGGAGATTATGGAGGTGATATGAGGGAGAGAGGACACTGGTTACGACTTGTGTTTATCTTCGTTTTCTTCTTCTTTGAAACGGTTTTCGCCTTTGCAGTAGCAGATGCAGATCCCTAGACCTGCCCTGAACCCGTGTACAGTACACTTTGCCCCATCAATGTTTGAACCTGTGACCTGCCCCTAAAGTTGTCTGTCTAAGGCCGTTGTAGATACAAGGGTTGAGTGGATTCGAGCTGCTTACCTGTAGGGTAGGAGTCGTAGCTTATGTCTGGACGTAGCTGGGTCAACCTTAGTCGTAGCTACTACAGTCCCCAAAGGGCAAGTAGGAAGGTCTAGAGTCTTCGAGGACTGCCCCTTCGAGAGTCTCAGAAGCAGTCAGTAGGCAAGTGGGCAGACTTACCAGGTCTAGTCAGCGGTACCAGTCCCAGTCGCACCTTGTCCAGTCAGCAAGTACCATGTGGGACTGTGTGCATCCTAGGCCCAAAGGAAAGGAGCAGACCAGCGACCAACTGAAGTATAAATCAAGAGGCAGCGTCCAGTTATTCTTCATTCAGACTGTGACCCTTTCGGAAGCGCTGCCTGAGCGACTTGTGCAAGGAGGTCTGCAAGTGCCCGTGGAAGAAGTGGGCTGAAGGGAGACGAAGCGGCCATAGCCGCTAGCTAGTGGTAGAGGTAGAACGCAGTCATAGCTGCTATAGGATAGAGGTAGTCTACAGCGTGTATGTGAGTGTGTGTGCAGTGAGCTGTGTGCGTGTGTGGGATATCCAGGGAGATCCAGAGTAACCTGCATGTGAACAGTGCCGAGGATACAGCGTGGAAGGGTGTTGTGTGGGCGACTAGGTGCCATAGCCAGTTGAAGCGAGTTGAATCTGAACTGTGTTCTTGGCCACGATATCTCTGAGCTTTGTTTGGGCGCTCATCGCCAGTGTGATTACCATCTGTTTTCATGCATGCTGAGTGAGAAGAAGACGAGGCTGATTGCATCTTCTTCCTTTGTCTCATTCTTCTTCCAATCTTCTTTCATTTGAGTTGCAATTGAATGGCATTGTCCTTTTGTGAGTTTTGCATTAGGAGCTGACCAGGATCATAACAGAAGAAAACAAATCAATAGAAGAGGAAGAAGAAGAAGAAGAAGAAAGCAGAAAGCAGAAGAAAGGAGAAGAAAGAAAAAGAAGAAGTTGACAACAGATATGGTGTGGAATGTCCTTATATGGTTGCCGAGCATTAGGATGAGGAGCACATGAGGAGAAGATCAATATACACAACAACGCAGAAGAATGGTGTATTCTACTATTCGTGCTTTTGTACAATGAACTGTGATTCTGATGGAAACTTTTGAGATATTGTGTGCAACTCACACGCATATGTTCTTGTATATGTTGTTCTCCATCAGGATGAGGATCACATGGGCCATCCCAGAAGCAGTCAGAAGCAGTAAGATTTATCAGCGACCAGGGTTTTAATCGTAACTTGTAAGCAACAGACTTACCACAGCTATTCGCTCATCATCATCATAGATGATAATAATCTTGTCTGGATCCTTATTGACCTGCATCAGAAAGTTCAAAAGGAGGGTGTAAGAAGTGGACAAAGATTCGTGGAAGTTAAAAAGTGAAAATGGAACTTCAAGGCAAATCGTAATTATCATTTAGGACAGAAGAAGTCAAGAGCAAAGTGCCCTTTTGTCATGGAGGAGGCTGCTCAACTCGAATTCATGGACCCACCAAATCTCTCCATCCTTGACAGTCCGAGTAAATGGTCCTGGCGCCCATGCAAGCACACTGGGACCACTTTCTTCGTTCTGGAACTGGAAAAGGAACAGTTATCCTGTGATGCTCTGGAGAGCGAAATCTTTGCTTTTTTTCTAAATAGTGCTAACTATGCGGCGAACGAAATCGAGTCTCGAATAAGCAGAAAAAAACAACACAGCCGCAGCTCTGCCACAGGTCGGCAGTTTTCATGGGCCAGTAGTTTTTTATTTCGCAGCTTTCGCAGGTACTGCCCGGTTCCTTTCCCAGGCACCCGGCCGGCAGGAAAGGGAACCGGCCAGTCCACTTCGTTGGGAGAAGAGGAAATCCAACTGCTGTACCTCCCAAGTCAATTGGAACTCCGTTCGGCAGATCCCCCTCTACCCCTCTTGTCAGTGTGAAGGGAGAGCTTCCGCGGTAAGTTCTCTCTCTCTCTCTCTCTCTCTCTCTCTCTCTCTCTCTCTCTCTCTCTCTCTCTCTCTCTCTCNTCTCTCTCTCTCTCGCTCTCGCTCTCTCGCTCTCTCTCTCCCTCTGCCTTGGCCAAACTGGGCAAGGTTACGGGGGACACTTCGGTGCGTGTTCTGGACGCATATTTTCAGATTCTATTGAATCACAGAAAGCAGGTATTGAACAGGCGTTATGGAAAAAAGAACCGCAGCTACAAGACTGGCGGAATCAGTGCAGAAGACCAGTGCTGTACCGGCGGCGACTTTCGGACCCTGAGGTTAGGTACTACGTCGGCTTAGATAATGATAGGATGTTTTTACTACTGTTCGAATCAAGGACTACTCCTTTCGCATTTCTATTTTCATATTCGGCTTTCTGTATTCTACTGTTTTTGGACCCATATACATTCGAGTGAATGTTAGGCCTTGTACCTGGTCCCAGGAAACGTTACACGGGTTGTTTTTGATGGAGATTTCCGTATGTATCCATATTTTGCAGTCTACATACTTTCGATTTAGTACTAGGCGTCGATGTTGGTCACAGAGATGATACATACACCTTCACGGGACGTGACTATGCATATCTATGGTCATCTACGTTACGAGCAGTGCATTTTTGGTATGATGTTCTACGTATGAGTTGCTGGTAGACCTATGCATTTTGTTACGTATCAGGACACGGGCCATCACGAGACGTTGCTACAGATCTACGTGATTACATACAATGTACTTTCGGATATATAACGGTGAGAGACAAGGCGGAAGGTCTCTCCTTCGACAGAAGTACTCGTCTGAGTATACCTCCCTGACGATTCCTTGCAGGCGGATGAAACGGTAGGAGTACGTTACTATGTCGTTTTGTTGGGAACATTTGGCTATGGTGGGTAGGCAGCTTTGTGTGCACATACAAGATCTGGGTTTGACTAGCATGACGATCGACGCTCTGAGTCCTGTTATGCTTTTATCTCACTTTGTGTGCATGCTTCGCTCCTGGTCACCTGTGCTTTCCTGAACAGGCTGTCTCGCCACAGTCTCAGAAAAATTACGAATATGTCCCTGCTAGGATAAGTTGTGTCGCATGGTCGCATTTTGGTAGTATGTTTTCAATTAGTCGTGTTCGTTGGCTTAGGGTTTTCGGGCAGTATACCGTGATCATTCGAAATCTCTCTTCGTAGATGTGGTAGTCAATCCTTGCCCATCTTCCGTCTTCTGAGTCTATGTTCTCTGTCGTTTTGGCGATCTTAGTTGCCGCTCTGGAGTTTGCATGGGTTAGGATGGCTACTCCGGCCGAATTGGAACGTGGTGTCGGTGCCCAGATTGTTTCCTTTGCCCATTTTAGTCTCTTTAGTATTTGGGTTTGTGCTCTTTGGTGTTCATCCAATGTGGTTAGGTGTGTTTCTTGGAGGCACAGTGTGTCCGGCGTAGTTTTCACGAACCAGCCTGTATCCTCGATTAGATTGTTCCAATTCCTTTGATTTGTGAGCACAGATAGCATACCGTTTGCATTCCATGAGATGATTTTTAGATCAGGTTCTGGTTTGTGGAGGGTGAATTTCGGTATTGCATGGGGGGTCTGCTCGGGTCTGTCCAAATCCTCGATGTTTGTAACTCAGATTCACCCTACATCTGCTGGCGTTGTGGAGTTCCTTAGGTGTCCCTTGTAGCTATGTGGCGTCCTGTGAAGATATCAGTCTGGAGCTTCCTCTCAAGGAAGTCTGGCTCCAGGGTGAAGATACCATAGGTCGTGACAAGTGCGCTACTCAGTGCTGCTCTCTCAGCCGCCATCTCCCCTCCCAGCAAACCGTATGGCATGGCTTCGACGACTTGCCATGGTACCCAGCAAAGGTCCCCTTTCAGAATGTCCGCCTCTTCTAGTTTCAGTAGTAAGGGTCTCCAGTCCGCCATCTGTTTCACGTCGTCTTGGTCCTTCCATTCCTCCCTCCCTTCTTCCTTAGTGCCCAGGATGTGCATTTTGGTAGGCGCATTGTCTGAGATGGTGTTGCGCAAAGTTGGTTGGTTGATATCTTTTGTTGGGACAGAGATCAGGGCATGTGATCTGTGGTATGCCACTTTCCAGGTTCCGTACCGGGTGTTCCAGCGGTAAGGTAGGATTATGCGCTTTTTAGGGCTGTTGCATGCATCGAGCCTGGTTGCGGCTTCAATTTCCTTGTGATCCCCCGCTACTATGTCCTTGAGAGTTGTCGTCCAGCTCCCGATTTTGGTCCTTCAACATGTTCACTTGTGCTTCTAGGATCGCTGCTTGCCTCGTCAGGTCTTCCACAGATTCTTCTTCTTCTGATCTTTGGTCTTGTTCCTCCTCTTCCTTGGTAGGTGGATCCAACGTCATTTTCTGCTTTTTGTCTTTCCTTTCTGTTTTCTGTTCAACGTAGTCTTTGGGCCAATTGAAGTGTCGTTCGTAGATGATGTTGTCTGTCCTGACTTTGTTCCTTTCCACCCTTGTCTTCATGTTGTATTGTGCACCATAGAATTCGTTGATCTCCTCCTCTCTTTTGAGGATTTCGTATTTGTTTTCCATTGTGATTTCCTCCTCTCATTTGGTTGCAGGTTTGACGTTGCAAAGATGTTTGTGGTGCGCCAGACGCACTTCCAGTTCCACGGATCTGTTCAGTTCCAAAGAAAGCACGTACTGTTGTACGTAATCCAGGGAGTCTGAATCAGTATCCTGATTGTCGTTCTCGTTTTCCATGTCTGTGTCGTCCCCCCTCCTCATCCTCATCCGCATTCTGGTCATTTGTGTCTGATCTTTCCGACATGCTCTCCGGTCGTGCCCTCTTGGTAGCCCTATCGTCCTCTGTTTGTGAGCAGTCCATGCTGTCCTCCGAGCTTGGTTGCTGGGAGTGATCCTCCTCCATTCCCGCTGGTGTTTTCCTCTTTGTTTCCTTTGCACAACCTTCCTTTGTGTTGGACGGTTGATCAGTGCACTTGCTGCATCCCTCGCCCTTGTCAACGGATAGAGCGCTTGCGAGTCCTATCGTATTCTGCCTCCCTCTTCCGGTCCCGTTTGTAGCGGATTCACTGGGTGAGTCCTCCTGTTTGTGTTTCAGAGATCCATTCGTCCGCAAAGTGCCGCTTTCCTGTCTGCCGGTTGCGACAGACTTAGGTGTCGAGCAGACCGAATCTTGTTGGTTTTCTGAGAGGACTCTTGCTCTCTGGTTTTCCAGATATGCTTTCACTGCGTTTTTCCCTATCTCGTGCAGCTCTCTCATTGTATCCAGTCTTTGTTTTTCATCTAGGAGACTTGCCTCGTTGATTACCCGTGCTGTCAGAAACCCTGTGCATTTGTCCTCCATCCTTTTGGCCCCTACTTCCCTCCATCTGTTGTCGTAGGGGGGGTAGATATCTGGCTTCAACTTGGGTTCCCCCGGGAGGACCCAAATCCATCTCGGGCTCTCCAAGTTGTCGTCGAACATCCATCCCCTGTATTGTGCTTCGTTTATGTACCATACCCCCGAATTTGTGTCACACTCTACCAACATTGACTGTTTGAGTGTGATCTTCCTTGTTGTGTCCCCTGTTAGCGGACAATGCATACCAACTATTACCAAGGTGACCTCTGTTCCTGCAGCGGAAACAGTACGAGTTTGTCTTGGTGGATAAAAAAACATTTAGCTTTTGTCCACTTTTTCTGAAAATTCAGACTTCAGGGAATTTAGGTGGCGTTCCTGATGACACCTCCAGACACGCTACCCGTGCGTTATGATTCGGACCCATGAACTCTAGGTTTGTCGGCAGCCAATCTGAGTGAAGGTTAACGGGCTTACTAATATTCAACATTTACATTATGAACGTTCAACTTTCATACACAATTGGGATCAAACACTGGGATAGAGTGCGGGGGGGAGGGGATCAGAATATTCAACGTTTTCACCACTTCAGAATTTTCAGAATCTTCACTGTTCCTACACACAAGGACGGGGGGGGGTGTACTCCATAATTTTCAGCATCTTCACCACTTCAAAATCTTCAAAATCTTCAGTGTTTCTACATACTTGCACAAAGGGGTGAACGTTGAAGATTCTGAAAATTCCAAAGTGGTGAAAACGCTGAAGATTTGGAACCCTCCCCCCTTTAAGAAACAAAACAGGGGATGGGGGGGAGGGGGGGGGGGTCAAAATCTTCAGCGTTTCCACCACTTCACAATTTTCAGAATCTTCAGCGTTCCTACACACTCAGATAAAGGGGGGTGTACTTCAGAATTTCGAGCATCTTCACCACTTCAGAATCTTCACAATCTTCAGCGTTTCTACATACTCAGACAAGGCGGTGCGCGTTGAAGATTTTGGAAATTGTGAAGTGGTGAAAACGTTGAAGATTCGGACATACAAGGATGGGGG